CTCGTGTAATTAGAGGCAATAGGGCTTAACGAAGGTAGTTAGTTATCTTGGGTTTTAGTTTTGAGCCTTTAGTGCAATGTCTTTCTATGTTTAGATTTTGTTCTCTTAAGGTTAGTTTGGGTTTATCTTCATTGTAAATCATTTTCAGATCAAATGAAGAATTGATTTGTTTTTTTTGAATATTCCACTTGTTTGATGAGTTTGTCAATCTTTTACTAATTAAAAAAAAAATTGACCCCAAAAGAAACGAGTAGTGAAATTTTTAATCCAATAAAAGTGAATGACTGTTTTTGTTGGTATTGTGGTGAATATCAAACCTTAAAATTTGAATCTAGGAAAGAAAGATAGCGAGGAGAGAGGATGATTTTTTCTAAAGAGAAATAATAGGGTTTGGAAATAATGGAGTAGGGTGATTTGGTTTTTTCCTCTCATTTTTTAATTTTATGAATTATTTTATTATTAAAATCAATTAAAATTATTTTTCTTAGATCGGATGGAAAAACTATTATTTAGGACTCATGATGTCACGTGTCAATCATTGATAGGTCGCTCTTAACGAGCGTCATAATAGAGGGTCCGAATCAAAAAATTTTGAAGAGTAGAGGGTTTCAATGAAGTTGAAAAATTATAGTATGGAGGGTTTCAAAAAAAAAAAAATTAGAATTGAATAGGATCCAATTGTAGGGTAAACTTGATTTTTTGACACAAATTAACCTAATTTAATCTAATTTAAACCTAATTAAATTTAAACCTAAATCAAATTAACCCTAATTCAAACCCAATTCAATTTAATTAACAATGAATATAATTTTCAATATAAATAAATTAAAAATCAACCAATTAATCAAAATTAGCTTGATTAATTTATTAAATATAAATCAAATTAACCTAATTAATTCTAATTCAAACCTAATTAAATTTAAACCCGAATAAAATTAACCCTAATTCAAATCTAATTAAATTTAACTAATAATTAATTAAGAATATTCAACATAAATAAAATTAAAAATCAACGAATTAATAAAAATTAAACTAATTAATTAATTAAAACTAAATCAAATTAATTTGATTAATTATAATTCAAATCTAATTAAATTTAACTAACAATTAATTAACAAATTAACCTAACAATTAACAAAAAATAGCACTTTAACAAATTAATCAATAATTTAACAATTAAAACTAAATAAAATTATAAATCAACCAATTAAATTTAAAATTAACCCGATAATTATGAAAAATAACTATCTTTTTAGAAGTAAAAGGGAGAGGGAGAGAGTTTACTTAATTTGAACAACTAGATTAAGAGGAAGGAAGAAAAAACAGGGGTTTTTAGGAAAAAAAGAGTTTGGAGTAGATGTGGATTAATGGGGAGTAGATGAGTGGAGTTTTGTAGTGGCTTTGGGTGGGGGAAGGACCAATCACTAGAGGAGCAGAAGGAAGGAAAAAAAACAGGGAAACAAAATTTAATTAGGGATTTCACCAAGTGATCGGACGTGATTTCGTTACCGATTTGTTACTATTTAATGATAGATATAAGTGTTTATCGTTATGCCATTATTAAATTGGTAGTTTTTTAATTACTAAATGCTATCCACGTTTTTGGAATTAGCAAGGGATATCGTCTTTAGTGCCAAAATCTTTCTAAGTGTTTTAGTTAATGATCGACAACTAAGTTACGGAAATTAGTGGTGAACTTTCATCCATCGCTAATAAACCGTCGTAAAACTATCTTTATTCTATCTCTAAATGTCATAGACGCTATTCGGTTGTTATTTACTCACTATTTAGTGATGAATTATAATCTGTCGTTAAATTCCGATTTTGTTGTAGTGATTATACGAATTTTAATCTTAGATTTAAAAACTTATAATTAATTTTAATTTTTAGAATTATCTTGGAAGTATTATTTACTTTTTTTTTTAAATTTATGTACATGCATTGCATATGCTCAAAATAATACTATATATCAATATATCAAATCTAATCCAACCCCTAACAGTCTAACTTTTTGGTATACAAAGTGATTTGAGTTTTAAGATCTTTATTAAATAGGTGAGTCTTTGATACTATATTAAATTAAACGAGTTAAAATTAAATTTTATCTAAAAGACTTAAACCTTGTGGTGAATAGTCTTTTCTCAAAACTATATATTACTCATTTATTATTTATTTATTCAATGTAGAATAGGTTTTTTTAATACTCTTATTCACTTATAATTTACTTTTTGAAATCTCTCAAGTGATTTAAGTTTTAAAATATTTACTAGCACTAATGAAAAAATTGGATTTATGATTTTTAGCGACGGCTTCAAAAATTATTGCTAAAACCATTAAATAGTGACGGTTTTCATAAACCCGTCATTAATACTCTTTTAAAAATGGCTTTTTAGTGAAAGTTTAAAAACCGTCGCTTATTTAGTCACATATGACTCGTTTTTAGTGATATTTGTGCTTAAATTGTTGCTAAATATGTCAATGACTTTGGAATTATTAAGTGTTTAGTTAAATCGCCACTAAGTCCTAAAAAAATTGGTTTTTAGCGACGGTTTTACACAAACCTTCACTAAAAGACCCTTAATTATGATGAGATTTAGTGATGGATATTAAAACCATCACTAAATCTAAATGTTAGCTAAGTCAATGGAGGACATGGATTTTGCAAAGGTTTTTGTGATAAAAATCGTTGCTAAATAACAAAATTGACAACGATTTATGCAAACTATCTCTAATTTCTAACCTTTGGAGGGAAAGCAATTATTTTGAATTTTTTAAATTAATTAGCAATGGTTTTACCTTCGTTAAATAATTTAATCCCTAAAAGCTACCGCCCTAAAACTTTTTCCCTAAATTCTTCTTTCTTCTTCTTCTTCTTCTTCTAGTAGTTGCTCCTCTACCATCTTCTTCCCCATTTCTCCTCCAATTTCGATCGCAACTCCCTCCAAATCTCCTCCTTTCTTATCTTTTCTTCTTCCCCTTTCCTCCTCCTTTCTATTCCTCTTTCTCTCCTTTCCTCCTCATCCTCCTCCGTTCCCTTATCTTCGTTCATGACGACAAGAATAGTGGCGCAGCCTCCTCCACCTCTTTATTGTGAGTTGACAACGACTCCTACTTCCTTCTCTACTCCATTTGTGTAATTGGTAACTAATTAATTTTTTTCTTTCTAATTTTTCAATAATTTTACATTTTTTATTTATTTAATTTTTTTTACTTGTTAATTAGTTTATTTTATTTTATTTTTATAGTTAATTTGTTAGTTGTTAATTAAAATAATTTTGTATTAAAAAAATCATTTAAGTGTTAATTTATTTAATTATGTTGTTTAATTAATTAGTCGTTAATTGTTAGTTTAATTTAGTTTGTTAATATATTTAATTGGTTTGTTGTTAATTACATTAATTTGTTGGTTAAAAATTTAATTAAGAGTTTGTATATTTAATAATGTGTTAATTAGTATTGTTAAAGTTGTTAATTATATTAATTTGTTTGTTGGTAATTAAGTACTTTAATTGTTATTAAAATTTAATAGGCATTAGTTTAAAAATTTATCTATTAATTAAGTGATTTAGGAGTTAGTTATATTAGTTTTATTTATGGTAAATAATATTATTTACTTATTTTCCAAAATTTACTATTTTGTTATTTTAATTTAATAGGGGTGTTAAGGTGGTCGGCGGCTATGGCAAACCCTAGCTGTCAGTAATTCTAGGAAGCATCATGGGAGAGCCTGATCCGTCCCCCCCATTACGTAAATCTCTCCCCATCGCCATTCAAACCTAGTGTCTTGTCTCTTCAGCTAGTACAACAAAACAACCACCTCACCCTAAACAAACCTTAACCTATATAGCTGTTACACAGAACAGAAACCCTACCCCTCACCATTTCCCATCTCTACAGATCTCCCTTAAACCTCTATCGATGTTTGAAGGAGAGCTAGCAGTAGAGCTCTCTATATCTAATATACAACAAGCGTCCAAACTGTTTGAACATACCCTAGTTGCCAAATTCTCCAAAGGTAGGCCTCCTATAAACACAATCATGCAACATATACGGCAGCAATGGAACCTTACAGAAGAACCAGTAATAGGTCTCATTGATCTCAGGCACGTCCTAATTCGTATGTTCTCTAGGGAAGACCTGATAAAAGCATGGTCTCGAGACTCTCATATGATCGAGAATTCCTTATTTCGGCTATTCAAATGAGATGACAACTGTAACACTAGGTTTGAATCACCAGGGGTGGCAATATGGGTTAGGCTGCCAGGTCTGCCTCTCTTTCTCTTCCCATTTGCATTTCTTAGGAAAATATTATGACCAGTGGGTATATTTCTGAGGCTAGATGAAAGAACCTCCAATGGGTCACATGTGATGTATGCTAGACTTTTATGGAAGTAGATCTGTAAAGTGTTATTCTGTCAAGGATATGGATCTCAATTGGGCATGATAAGAACCATGGATTCTAGCAGCCTTTTCACATCAAATCCAATGTGGCTTACTACGAAGTCTGTAGGCTAAAAAGACACACCAAGGCTATGTGTCGCAAGATAAAGGCAGCTGCTCTCCATTAAGCTTCACAAAAGCAGTACAGGTCCTATGGGAAAATACAACAGGAATGGAAGGTAGTCAATGTAAGGGATAATCGAAAAGTGGATATGGAACAACAAGGTCCATAAAGAACTAGTAGAAAGGGAAAAGAATTATAGTTTTCTTTATAAGAGATCATAGTGCCTGTGCAACAGTTAGGCGAGACCCAAGGAACTACTTCTTACTCCAAAGATGTCAATCAGGAGGTGCAGACAACATTGAATCAATGTTTAGAAAAAAACCAGGCTTGTAGCTATGTTAATGGAAAGGATCAATCACATGAAGAAAGGGAAATAATGGGTACAAAATTTGTTAAATACACAACTCTCAAAGAAGTACCTATTGTGGATGTGCTACAAGAATATGCAACTCCAAATTCTTTTGAGACTTTGCAAATCTATGAGACAGAAACTTAGGCCTTATTACAAGGAAGTCTAGTTCCATCTGTACTGAAGGTAAATATAATATATGAGAATGTAGAGGTCTTGCATGGAAGTGAGGATAGAGAGCAAAGCCATTTTTTTCTACTACAGAAGCATGTAACATTGAATAATATGGATGAATTACATGGGAATGGGCTCAACAATAGCAAGCAGTGCACACTGAAGGAACAGGGGAAAAATGATTCTACTCTGCAGACATCTCAAGTGGAAAGAATGAACAATGGGAAAGGTGCAGAAATAGAATCTCAAGTTCATCCATATAAAGTTGAACCTCAATCCAGATTAATACTTCAGAACATAAGTAGAAAAGGGATTAAAGCTTCTACTCAAATATTTCAAGGCAATAAAGTTGATTACTTTGCAGTAACTAAGGAAGGAAATTATCTATCTCCGAAAGGTAGTTCCTTCACAGCGAGAGAGGGTTCTTACATGAAAAACTCAAGTTACTTCTCTCTACAGGATGTGGTATCAGATGATTGACATGTGACAATATTATTCTGATGGAAATAGATTCACTCTATACGCCAACTGCTTATAGGAAAAAGAATAGAAAGAAAGCGACTATGGCTAAACCCCCTCGACACAGTACTAGATCCATTAAGGATCCTTTTGGTAACACTTTTCTCTCCTTTCCCTAATGAGTTACATGGTTTGGAATGTATGAGGCATAAATTGTCTGGAGAAATGTATGTATTTAAAAGGGTTGATAAAAGCGCATAAAGTAAATATTTTAGTTATTCTTGAACCAAAAGCAAATAGGGAGAAAATTATTGAACTTGCTAATTACTTAAAGTTTGTTTATCATTTACATAGTAATCCACTCAATATGCATATTTGGATTCTTTCAAAAAGCAATAACATTACCATTCATAGTGTCTGCAGTCAAGCAATAACAGTGCAAATTACAAATACCTTTATACCTGATAATTACATGCTCTCTTGTGTTTTTGCAGAATGTAATAAAGAAAAGAGGAAGGATTTATGGTAGTATTTGTTAAAGCTAAATGCTACTGTCTCATGGTTAGTTTGTGGGGACTTCAATGTCATCTCATCTTCGGTTGAAAAGGCAGGGGGTCGTGACTTTGATCCAGTAGCAATGGATGAGTTCAATCAATTCATCAGCTTCAGAGGTCCGGTTGATACAGGATATGTATTTAGTGGTTTCACATGGTGTAACAATCAGAAACGGGTGATAAGAATACTAGAAAGAATTAATAGATGCTTGTATAATATGTAATTTCAAGCCCTCATGTTGATGTTAGAATGTAAACATCTTTCTAGAGTGTTTTCAAACCATTGCCCGTTACTACTGTCCTTCAGGGAGATAAGTAATAAATTAGCCAGGTTCTCCTTCAAACAAATATGGACACATCATGAAAGCTTACTACAATTGATCACACAACACTGGTAATAACATGATATAAGGAACTCGTTAATAAATTTTTAGCTTAACCTAAAAGTGTTACGCTGTGCCCTTAGGAAATGAAACTGGGAGGTCTATGGAAATATATATAAAAAGGTTTTTGATGCAGAGGATGAGGTTACCCGTATGGAAGTAGAGCTCATGAGCAATAATTCTAAGGCTGTGGCTTAGAGCTTGGCTGAAACTGAGAACAAACTGTCTTTCTTGGTTTTGCAGGAATAAATCTTTCTAAGAGAAAAGAACCAAAACCCAGATTTCTTCCATGCAAGCATGCAAAATTTTAAGCAACAAAATAATATCTCATTGAGAATTAATGGCAATATTTGCACAGATGACACTGTACTGGGCAATAATGTAGTCGCATATTTTCAGAATCTCCTGTAAGCGAATTTGGTGGCTCCTCTAGATAAGCTACTTATAGTTGTCCATTTTTTTAGTCACTATAGAGTAGAGTCTCATGTTAACAAAGATTCCATCCGCATAAAAAATTAAGGAAGTCGTATTTGACATTAACCCATCCAGTGCACTGGGTCTAGATGGTTTTACAGGGGCTTTCTACTAGAATTATTGGGAAGTGGTTGGAAAATCCCTAATTAAGGCAGTTAAGGAGGTGTTTACAGGTGGATGTATATAGAAAGTAGTTACAACAACATCCATGGTATTTTTCCCAAAATGCAGAAACCCAGTAGAGTATAGTGATTTGAGGCCAATTAGTCTTTGTAGTGTGTCTTACAAGGTAATTGCCAAGATAATTACTCAAAGGCTTGGCAAAGTTTTACCTCATATCATTTTAGAAGATTAGAGTGGATTTGTCGAAGGATGACTAAAATAGGAAAATATAGTACCAGCACATGAACTCTTTCATGAGATTGATCAAAAAACGATATAAGGGAATATTGTTTTTAAAGTAGATATGGAAAAGGCGTATGATCATTTAGAATGGTCATTTTTTATCAAAGCAATGATGAAGTATGGTTTCTTTGTGAACTGGTGCTCCCTCATTCAACGATGTCTAGATAACTGTTGGTCTTCAGTGATATTAAATGGTGGTTCTTATGGTTTCTTTAAATCATGACGGGCTATTTGGTAAGGGGATCCTCATTCACCAGTACTATTTATAATTGCTCAGGATGTTCTAAGTAAGAATCTCAACCAACAAGTTCTACGGGGTCGAATTTAACCATATCATATTGATTGAAACACCATTAATGTTAATCATTTGTTTTTTACAGATGACATGCTCCTTTTCAATAATGGGTCGAAACGCTAAGTGGATAAACTAATGTGTATTATTAGAAAATAATGCTAGTGTAGTGGCCAGTTGGTGAACATTGACAAAAGTGGCTTCCTCTGTAGTAACAAACTTCCCATTAACAGGATCAGTCTTTTGTAAAGATGGGTAGGATTTAGACTTATGAAAACTCCCACCATATATTTAGGGATCCTCCTATTCAAGGGGCGTGCTAAAGTTTCCTTTTTCTAGACTTTAGAGGCGAAGATACAAAAAAAAAAAAAAAAAAACTAGCAGGATGGAAGGGAAAACTATTATCCATGGGAGGTAAACTAACATTGATATAATCATTCCTATCCTCCCTTCTAGTATACACGATGGCAGTCATGCCTATTCCAAAGAGGACATTGAAGCACATCTAATTGTGTATTTTAAATTCCTTTCAGAATAATGGCAAAGAAGGGCGACATCATTAGGTCAATTAGGAGAAAATTTCTAAACCTTATTCAAGAGAGGACTTAGAGTTATGAATTTTCAAAAGGTAATGAACTCCATGAAAGGTAAACTTGCTTGGGCTTACCGATAGGGAATTTCTTTATGAGCACAGTTTGTAACTTCAAAGTATGGCAACTATAATTCATTAAATGAAGAAGGGAATAGAGGGTCTCTTTTCTGGAGGAAGCTACTATCACATATCCTTTATATCAGGGATAACTTGAAATTGATAATAGGGGAAAGAAGCATTTCTTTAGGAGTATGGAGTTTAGGGATTTTAAACCAGTAGACATACCTTATTGTGGGTGAGATATTACAAAATGAAGAACCCCTCTCTTCCCTTCCCACTTCAATCCAATGAGAGCTAAGTCTGGTCAGAATAGCTTCTAATGAACCAGACAGACTGGTTTACACGCTCATGACTTCGGGGCTGTTCAGAACGATGACGTATAGACAACAGCTACGGACTCTAGGTCCATACTTTAAATGTGGAAGCTATTTTAAAATGCGTGGATACTTGTTAAAATGGCTATACTAACTTGAAAGATATTAAATAATGGTGCTCCAATAAAGAGAAACATCCAGCGTTGTGGCATTCATCTTGCCTCCCATTGCCACTGCTGCAAGCAGCCAATAGTGGAGACAGTGGATCACTTATTTCTGCATTGAGAGTTTGCTGCAGCTGTATGGAACTTCTTTGGTCCTTGTTGGACATCCCAATAGGTTACACTAGTATACAATGCTTAGTGGGTAAGTGGCTTCATCCAGTCAAGCCTTCCAACCAAAAGCAATTCAGTAGAATAGTGGTGCTTCATTGCTCACTTTGGAAGTTATGGAAAGCACGCAACAAATCTCTATTTGATGGGAGGGGAATGTTAGTAGCAGAAATCATCTTCAAAGTGAAGAGATGGATTGTAGATATTCAACCCTTGTTCATGTCGAGAGCTACTCTTGGTTTCCATGACACTTTAAGCATGTAGGCCTTACATATCCCGCTTGGACCTTTAAAAGTTCTAAAAGGAAAATGGATTGTTTGGTCTCCCCTTCTATTCATCTGCTAAAACTAAACTGTGATGGCTCTGTAAAAGAAGGAATGTGCACTGGAAGAGGTGTGGTGACGGATGGAAATGGCAAAATGATTATGGCATTCTCCTTACACTATGGAGAAGGTACTAATAACATGGAAGAATTAAGAGTAGTAGTAGAAGGTCTTGAATTATGTAGGAATTTAAATTAATAATTCATTTTGTCGAGTTGGATTCAAAACTTATGGTTGATGCTATCAATGGAATATCTAGAGCACCATGGTCATTAACATACTTACTTCAGCAAAGCAAACAGTTGATGGGGTGTGCTAAAATTATTCATACTTGTAGGGAAGGCAACTTCATTACTGACAGACTAACAGATCAGGCTTATGTGCATGGAAATCAAGTTATTTATCACATACTGGATACTCTCCCTTCTTTTGTTCATATGGCTCTCAAGGAAGACTACTATGGCTAGTGAGGTTCAGAAATTAACTCTTTTAGTTCGTTATTCAAATCATATCTTTTTGATGTAGCGTAAAATTAAATTTTGTTTTAGGATTTCAAAATCCCTTATTGTTTTTTCAGGGGTTTAGGCTTCCTTGCCCCCCTCCATCATGTTAGGTTAGGATGATTTGTCCCCCTTTGTATATTTCCACGTTTCATCTATAAAATTTCAAGGTACCGTCCCCGTTCCCTTTAGAAAAAAAAAATTTAATAGGGGTGTTAATTAAGTTATGTATATGTTAAACTTATTAAATTAATTGTTAAACAAATTATTAAATTTTTTTTTACAAATATTGAGTTAGTTTTAGTTTAATTAATTTGGTAGTTAATTAAGTTTTTTAGTTTTTAAAATAAGTAAATTAGTTTTATTTTGTTAAAAAAATTTTATTATGTGTTAGTTTAAATAATTTCATAGTTAATCAAATTTTTAGTTATTAAAATAAGTAAATTAGTTCTTTATTAAATAAATTAAATTTATTTTAAAAATAACATTTACGTGTTAGTTTAATTAATTTAGTTTTTAATTTAGTGTTTAATTTGTTTAAATTAAAATTAGTTGTTAATTAAATTAATTAAAGTTGCTTTAAAATCTTCAACTACGTGTTAGTTTAATTAATTTAGTAGTTAATTACATGTTTAATTTGTTAAAATAATCAAACTAGTTGTTAATTAAATTTAGTTTAAAATCTACAATTACGTATTAGTTAAATTAATTTAGTAGTTAATGACGTTTGTTTTTTGTTAAAATAAGTTAATTAGTTGTTAGTTAAATTAATAACATTTAGTATAAAATTAACAAATATGTGTTAGTATAATTCATTAGTAGTTAATTAAGTTTTTTATTTGATAAAATAAGTTAATTAGTTGTTAATAAAATTTATTACATTTAGTATAACATTAATAATTACATTTTAGTTTAATTAATTAAGTTATTAATTAATTTTTTATTTTTTAAATGAAATGAATTAGTCGTTTATTAAATTAATTAAATTTAGTTTAAAATTAACAAATGCGTGTTAGTATAATTAATTTAGTAGTTAATTATTTTTTTCTTTTGTCAAAATAAGTTAATTAGTTATTTATTAAATTAATTATAAAATTAAGATTTACATTTTAGTTTAATTAATTAAGTTGGTATTTATTTTTTAAAATTAAATAAATTAGTTGTTTATTATATTAATTAAATTTAGTAAAAAATTAACAATTACGTTTTAGTCTAATTAATTAAGTTCTTAATTAAGTTTTTTTTTGTTAAATTAAGTAATTAATTTAGATGTTTATTATATTAATTAAATTTAGTATAAAATTAACAATTACGTTTTAGTTTAATTAATGAAGTTGTTAATTAAGTTTTTTTGTTTGTTAAATTAAGTAATCAAGTTAGCTATTTTCAATATTAATTAAATTAAATTTAAAATGAATTTGGATTGTTCATTGATTAACTATAGATTAATCGATATTTTTTTAAATCAACGTTTCGGAGATGGGATTAATGAATTTATTAACTTTTTTGCTAGTCATCCGAGTGTGTGGAAATAAATAAGATAAGATATCCTTGTAAACTAAAAAAATTTCAGAATCACGATTATGAATATCTTAATACGATTAAGTACGATTTGATGCGATATGATTTTGTGTTTGGTAATTATGTGTGGACACATTGTGAATAAAATGAGTTGATCATCTATGGTGACAACTCAAGAAATTTTGTTCAAACTGAATAAATATTTGATGAACCTCTAGCCAATTCATATCACACAATGGTGATGGATATAGTCGATCCATCGTTTAATTCGTCTAACACCTACAAATTCCCAAACCTAAATGCACATGCATTTTATGAGTTGTTGAATACATCCAATGGAGAGATTTGGCTCGGTTCGGAAAAATACTCATAGTTATCCACAATG